TTTTTTCTCATTGTTTCAATCGTAGCAATATTCCTTTTCAGTAACATCTGTCCAAGTGTATATGAGGAAAAGAAGTTGTACCATGTTATATTATGTCTCTTGAGACCATAAGACAAATCAAGAACTACCCTAAGCTCCTGATCTTTCTCACATGGCTGGTTTCTTGGCTTTCCAAGGTAGATTAATATTTTAATCCAATATTTGAATATTCCACACATAACTTGTCGCATAGAACTCAAAATTTTATGCCATATTTTGCTGGTTTTTTTAGGTATATACTATTGAAATGGACAGTTTCCATTGAAGAAACTAATTGTATATCACCTGTAACATGCATGGGATTAAAAAGTTTTGGCAGTATTTCCGCCCATGTATCCCATAAGTCCCAAATGGCTGCAAATTTATCCTTTTGTCTACTGCAGGAACATGCTTCTCGATCATCAAATCTCAAAACTCATTGGTATATGAAAGAATCTTTGCAAACAAATTGTGGTCCCGAAAACAGCTCTGCTTTTCTCTGCATCTCACAAACTTTCTGTAAACTTATTACAGGGCTGTGAAGTCGGAATCAGAGTTGGGCGGATTTTTAAGTAAAAGGAGTCGGAGCTGGAGTCACTAAAAACAGGTCAATTCCAGTTTTTGTTGGACAGTTTGAATTTGAAATGAAATTAAAGTGAATTAAAAAAAACATTAATGTCAGACTGAGTTATTATTTTTATTTATGAACTATATACATTAATAAATAGTTACTTTCTATTTTAATGATATATTAATAAATATATATATAAGGAAGGAGAATGGATGTGTGATGTTTGCCATTAGTGATTAAACTGATTCGTTTAGTTAGAAATCTCACTGGTAAATTTAGGTAAGCAGCAAGAACTCCCAAAATTGATGCCATTCTTAGGAAGCGAGCAGGAAAAAGAGCAATTATTGATCAAGCAAAGCGATAAGGAAGTACATATTTAATGATATAGAGGTTGTTAGAATTAAGAACGTTTTTAGAAGATGTAGATAACCCTAATGTTTCACTAACAGAAAGACTGTGTATCGAATGATCTTTCAGAATTGGAAACTTCTTCTTTCTACACTCGTATATAGCCTACAAAAAAAAGCTGCAATCTGAAGAATTAACAGGAGGTGAGAGAATGGAAGAATGTGATGTCGTTTGTTCTTTCTGAAATGGAGGGTTTATTGCAAGAAGGAATCATTTCTTTCAATGAAGGAAAGAGAAACTAGTTTGCTAGACTAATGAGATCTTTGCTGGAGTTCAATATATGTAGATCCAAAACACCGAATCTTTTGTTGGATGACGAACAAATTAAGAAGGCGAAGAAAGCCACTCTATGAACTTTCAATAAGAACGAAATTATTTTGAGAACACTTGGAGTATTCTAATCAGGAACAATCAAACTGCAGACATTGCAACCGGGTCTCTATCATCCTCTTCCAGTGATGAATTAGATTTTTAGAAATATTTTGGGATAATATTGAAAAGGCTAAGGCAAACGAATGAAAATAAAGAACCTAGAGCCTTTAGATATAAAAATAGAAAAATAAAAACAAGATTTCTACAAGGCCTTTGAAGAAATAGAGAAATATGATTGCACTTGCAAGACACCTCTTTTAGAACTTATAAAAGTCTATCCTGAAAAGTTAAAAGAAGTTGCCGTAACAGTAACAGCTGTTCCTCCTACTCAAGTCAGTGTGGAAAGACTCTTCTCAGCTCTGAAGTTTATCAAATCAGATCTATGGTCTTAAAACAAAGAAGATCGTCTCGAAACTATACTGTTTCTTAGAAGTAACTAATGCCAGTTTTCCCATTTCATAATAAATGCTAATTAACCCGTAACAGGGGACATGCGGTCTGACGGACCGCACCACATGTTCCTCCCATCACCCCTATTACATGCTTTGTCCAAGTGAATGGATTCTTCCCCTAGCTTCACTTTTCGTGACCTTCTTTCTCACCCCTTCTTATCGGAATGCTTTGGCAAGTGTATCTGTTGAAATTCTTCTAGAGCGGTCTGTGAGACCTCACCTCCCTCTCAGTGTTACAATTTTCGGCAGTAGTGAACACATGGCTCTGAAGTTAGGTCCGCGGAGATTCATTTATCCTTCTGATCCACGTTATTAGCAGAAGAACTGAAAAAACTTCTAGACGAAGTTGGAAGTGATTTTAGTGAAGAAGATGACTGTGAAGAAAAATTTCTGCGAAAAAAGGCGAGCAGTGGGTTTGATGTCATCATTGCATTCATTCGATTTAGAAAACAGACTCGGAAACACAGAAACCTGAAATAATTTGTTTTTATAACAGAACCAAAGGTGGTATTGATGCTTTAGATGAAAAATGTTCTGTCCATTCCTGTATTAGGAGAACAACCACGTTGGCCTATGGCTCTTTTCTACCGGTTAGTAGATATGAGTGCAGTAAACGCATACATTTTGCACCAAGGTTATAACCAAAACCCTGTTATGACCAGAATGGTGTTTTCGAAAGAATTAGCGAAATAATTAGTCCAACCACTACTACACACGAGAGTGAAAAATCAAGAATACATACGAGAGAATTGCGCTTAAAGCGGATTTTAGGAAAAGAAGCTGAGTCTAAGGATGTGAAGCAGTGCACAAAAGAAGCTGAGTCTAAGGATGTGAAGCAGTGCACAAAAGAAGCAAAATTAAAATCACGGAAAACATGTCGTCTGTGCCCCCCAAGCAAGAAAAGAAAGACAGCATATTTATGTTTATCTTTGCCAAGACCCTGTTAGTTTGGAATGCAAGCAAAAATTATGCAATGAATGTGTTAAAGAAGACGAAAACTCAATTGTTTACTATCAGAAAATCAGTGAGATACTGATATTTTAGGTACTGTCAAAAATTTTTCTGTATTGTGCTACATTACAATTTTCTGCAGTTAAAATTTGCTTTGAATATTAACTAATATAGATAAAATAGTTAATTCAAAATAGATGCATTCTTATTTTTAGTTTTATAGAATTTAGTGCAGCATATGATTTTCATCAAAAAATTTGAAGCTATGGGGAATTTTTCTGCGAAAAATTTAATTTCACTTTAAAGTGTAAAATCATATTTTCTTTTCCGAGTAAAATGTTCAAAGAACATCTAAGTGAAATATCATGATTATATTTTATATAGACGATTTTTAAAAATTTATTATAATTCGCGGTCTCTGAGACCGCACGTCCCCTGTTATGTTCAACTTTTTCACCTCCCCTGTTACGGGTTAATATAAATAATTTTCTATGCCATCAGTTTTTTTTCTGTAGCATCTATTACCTCTTTTATATTAAAAAATACCCATGTGTACATGTTTACATATGAAAGAGTCGGAGTATTTGAAATTTCTGGAGTCTGTCATTTTCCCTACCGACTCCACAGCCCTGCTTGAATACACCAGCAAGCAAAAGTAAACATATAAAGACGCTGAATTCAGTACTATTAATTTCTTTCCACACATTCCCAAATACATGTTTTCCTTCTATATTCAAGTTCATGATGACAATTTACTCGATTTCTTTTGTAACAAACAATCTAAAAGCAGACAGTTTATCATGAATTCTTGAAGTAGCATATTTAGTAGGTTCTGGTGTAAGGTTCAAAATATTCTTTGAGTGGCGATTACCTACTTATAAAGGAGGCTCACGTCTATACTGAATTGATTTATCTTTGGACATATAAATGCTGTTCGTAAATTCATTTTCTGGTTCATTGTCCGAAGATAATTCAGAAGCTTCAGAAATGTGATCTTCTGATTCCGACACAGTTTCTTTGTCATCGAAGCAGTTAATAACATATCCATTTCTTCCATCATTGAATTTATATATTGTATAAAATAAACCCTGTTATAAGCTAGAATTGGTACAATAATTACTTATTACTTCGAACTCACTTCGTAGCTGCAAACACTTCTCAAATTAAAAAAAAGAAAAACCCTGAAAAAACTTTTAATGCTTCTCATTGGTTATGACATTCATGTATCTCTAGACAATTTAAGAAAAAAGGTTTGATTGCTATTCCCCTTTTTTGATTAATCTTTTAGAATTTTTCAATTTTTCTGAGTAAGTCTTGACTTTCTGTCACCACTACGTTTACAGAAAAATTTATAACCATAAAACAATACTGAACAATTATTAATTAACAATAAATGTATTTTCGATTTACAAATGTGTGTATTTTTTATATTACAAAGAGGAAATTGTATTCCTAACACAGTTTATGTAAACTTTTTTTTTTTGACAAGTACACTTATGTTGCAATTAAAACAAAAAATGAGTATATCTCACAGAATAGTAAACTGAGCACATTCATGAAGCCACAATGTAATAGCCATATAATTTTTAATTTTATCACAAAATTAAATTACTTTTGAGTCAAAAGGGACCTGAACACAGCAGCAGGTTAAAAAATGACAATGAAAAAATTGCCTAAAACATCAATGAAGTAACAAAATTAAAAATGCAAGAAACATCCATTATGAAACATTGAAAATTATGTAAAACAGCAACAAATTAATTAAGCTGTACCCATCAATCTGTTTTACTTTAAAAAAAGGGGGAGGAGAGTTTCACAAATTTGGAAATCGCTATTATTACTAAAAAGAATGCAGCAGAAACCACAAACATGATCCTCGAACTTAAAAACTATCAACATTATATGCTGGTGCAACTATTAGTAGGTTGCCAGATAAATATGTTTTCGTAAATTTTTGGCAACATAGCGCTTTGCTCAGTGATTCTTTCAAGACTGGACAGATAATCAGAGAATACATTGATTTTTCCCCCCCTCCCATTTCTTTCTAATGTACAAAATACATTTGGCAGCAAAGAAATTTGGATTGTAAAATCCACAGTTAAAGAAATTTGTTTATTAATTTGTCATTATTTCATAACTTAAATATGTATGTTATGTAATAATATTTATCACGAAGAAACTTTTTCTTTTTTTATATTTTTAATTTATTATTTAACTGTTTTTTACAGGCTATGGATAATTTAGAAAAACAGGTAATTTTAATTATTAATATCTTAATTCTGTAATTATTCAAAATGTATGTATTTTCATATTTAGTATAGAGCAGTGGTTCTCAACCTTTTAACGCATACCCATCTAAACAAAAATTGAAAACGTTTTGTACCACCACTACAAAGTAGTACTACCACCACCACCACCAATCTTCAACAAAGCTCACATCGCATAAATTTACGAATGCTTGAGAAAAAACTCAATCAGTATGTTGGGGTTTTAATTTTTAAATTTAATAGTTAAAAATACTTTGCATCTTTGCGTACCACCTATTTTTCTCTTGCACACCACCAGTGGTATGCATACCACCTGTTGAGAACCACTGGTATAGAGTATCATATATGTTTCATTTTTAGTAATATTGATGTTTAGGGTATGTGAATATGTAATATAAGATAAGATATATGGTCAAAAGTCGTTAATTCGGACACCCATAATCCGAATTTCAAAGCTACAAACTTTCTGCGCATGCGTCGCGCGTAAGACCTTTACGGTTGCGAATATGCGTGTGCACATGCGCATAATACGTTTACACATGCGTGTTTAATGTATAACGGACAGTATAAGCTAAGCAAAAATTATATGATTCAGTTAATGTTGCAGATTGCATTGTTCCTTAATCTTTGAATTGAATCCGCCTTATTATTTTTTGCAGACTGTTATAGCAGTTTTGTAAAAGTAAGCTTGAACTTTTGATTATGTCAAATAGAGTTTCCTGTATATATTTACTAATATGTAAAGGATCTACAAAGCGAAAATATGTTTCAAAGTCCATTAACCAAAAAGTGGAATTGCTGCAAAAAATGGATAAAGGCATATCCTTCGTTTCTCTAACCATTCCGAAATCTGTTTATCAATTTCACGCTACTCTGCGGCGGAGGGGGGGGGGGAAACGCCGCGGCGCGCTATGAATTGGAAGTTAATCTGTCAGCACTATCCTTATCTTCAGGGCAGATTTTTTTATTTTATTTGGCTTATAATTCCTTACTAAATGTAGTATTTCATCTCGATGTACTCCGTCTTTGATATGATTGAAATCAAATTCCTCGTCATTATAATTCGCTTCCGATAATGAAGAAAGTGACACAGAGGTTACTGAAAACGAAAAAATTTCGATTGACGAGTTAGTCTGTATTCTTGGCACAGCAATGTACAGGACTTGAACAGCGGAACTTTGTAACTGAAGAATTATGTCTGTTTATAGAATTAAAGAGAAAGTATTATCACACAAAACGAAGCAACTTAAACAACTTATATTGAAAGAAATGTTTAATAAAGTAAACAAATAAATATTAAGCTTTTTTTTTTTTTTTGAAAATTTGATACCCTTTAGATCATAATTGTTTCTTATTTCATAAATTACGGTTTCATATTTTTACTTTAATAATTTCTGCATGCTGTCTTACCATAAACTGATGATCTATAATCTGGAATCGCCGAAGTCCTGACGAGTCCGGATTAACGAATTTTGACTGTACTTATTAATTTTGCAGTATTTTATTATTGTTTATATATATATGTATATTTAAGGCTTTCAGTTTATGTTCATTTTGTAAGATTGCTTTGCTGAAGGTAGCATTTCTCGACTGGCGAGATTCTTATCATTATGCTAATTTAGTATTTTAATTAGTGCTTAAATTGCACCGGAACCCACCAGATGCCGGCTCCAGTACTTCTCAATTTTTAAGATAAATTACAATTCTAGCCGGAGCGTACCGCAGCTCTAAATAATATGAGCTCCGGTACTTCTTTTTATAAAACTGAACTACAATTTAAAGGGAAAGAATTTAGAATTCCTAATGTTAGTTTAACAATAAGCAGACCTTGCAGTACTCTATTTCCGTAGAAATATAATCTCATGAGAACATGAGACGTTCAAGTAAAGTCCCTTACTGACATGCGGAAACGTAAGGAGGGCAAGAAATTTGAGGGAGTTTGTTTAGGAACGCATAAATTTCTCATCAATGCCATCGTATCTAGCGTATTGTTATCAATGCTTACAGTTAGTTATCCTTGCAGGAAGGAAAATTTGTGTTCTTAAATGTGCGGTAAGTGACAGCGAGTACAATAAGATTGTTTACTGAGATAAACTGCTCAAGCACGTCCTATACATCGTCTTCCCACAGTATCCACTAATGGAGGGGAAAGCATAACAAGCAACTTTACATTCATCCTTAGGAGTCAAATTCAGGACTCATATTACTCCTGACTCACATCTGCTTGATGGCTGTAATTATATCAGCAGAGAGCCGCGGTCAAAGAGAACATTCTCTCTCACCAAGATTCCTCTCATTTTTTGTTTCCACCCACTCATACCCTTATTCTGTTTTTCCCTGGAATTTTCATCAGCTATACTTTAAGTGGTACTTTTCAGTTTTGCCGGCGCAGGCGATAAAGTCGCCAGTAATGGTACAACTGATGCCAAACAGAATATCCTCACTGGTAACCTTTTACGCCTTATTTTCAAAACAAGTCGTAACCATTATTCATCATATTGATTGCATACGATTACATAGAATTTTTACCAAATAGTTCAATTTTATGCCCTGAGGTCGTTCGCGGTAATTAAGTCAGTTAGGATGCAATCGCACCGCTCATCCGAAGGCAAAGTCAAGGGTTAAATTCATCAATTCTAATGAGAATGCGCTAGCGAAGTAAAGCACTGCAGTTTTACATAATTTATGAGTAAGCTATTCGTACGAATTGAAACAATTCTTGCATTTAAACTTATATTCCAAATTAAGATTTAACTTCAAATTAATGTAGATAATTACTGACGTAATTAGATTTTTGTAGCTTAGTTAACGTGACATGAGATCACTTGGGGTCATGTGATAGGAACCGGCGAATCAGGATATTGAACCATGAGATCATAGTAAATTCTTATATTGTCTTTTTACAAATTTATTGCCTTTATTTACTGTCTTTTTACAAAATTTAAAATGATATTAAAATGTTTATGATTTCAAAATAAAAAATTCTTAGAACTAACATTGGTTATTTATGTGTATACTGTGTGTTGTCACCAATATAGTCTGCTTGGCAAGATTTGCGCCGGCCAAATGGAAAAGTACACTTTAAGTATATTTAATTTTTGTGATGATAAAAAAACTTTTTCCCCCTATGATCAGAGCTTAAACTGGGCTGAAACCCACCGGATCTCCGCTCTGGTGCTTCTTAATTTTTGTAGTAAATGATAATTCTAGCTGGAATGCACCGGAGCTCTGAATAAGAAGGGTCCGGCACTTCTTTTATGTAATTGAATAACAATTTCAGTAAAAATTTTATCTCAAAAATTTTCTTTTAACAATAAAATTATATTAAAAACCACTTATTAAATTTCAATTTATCTCTTTACATTTTATTTAATTTTAATATTTCAATAAGTAATAATTAATTATCTAATAATTATCAATTAAATTACAATTAATTAATTATATAATAATAATGATTAAAAACAATTATAAACATTAATTAATTTTTAATATTAACTATTTATTTAAATTATTAATGAGTTTAATAGTCATTTTATTTATTTATTTACTCTTGTTCCTCTTTGCTGATGGTCTTCCATAGGGCTCCGGCACTTCTAATCTTAGAAATTAATCCCTGATTTTAATAATAATCTAAAAATTAATTCTGACAAAAAAGAGTTAACTTTCATTGAGAGACAATTTTTTAAATTGTTGTAGATAATAAACACATTTCTTATGAACATTCACATTATAAAAGTTAGGTGGACAATGATAAAGTAAATGAAAGCAATGTATATGTTTTCTTGGTACCTACATATTAGCACAATCACCTTAGTGGAAGTAGCCAAATTTTCAAAATGTGGCATATTCAGGTAACCCCATGCATTACTTCAGTTGTGGCAACCATATGCAGAAACATTTTTAGTTTTATAAGCAATGGCACCATTTTTGTTAATATTCTTTTAGTTATATTCCAAATTCTAATGTTTTTTTGTAGATAAATAGTGATGTTTTTGTTTTAAACGCAATTTAAAAAAATGTCTGTGGAACTTTTTTGCAGTGGAAGAAACTGTGGTAAAGTTCTTAACTACAAATTAAAAAAAAAAAAAAAAATTACCCAGTTTTCTATCCAAGTGAATGAAATACATCAAACAAAATAAGGTAAATTTAGCATTTGGGATTTTTTTGTCAAATGGGTTTCCAGCCAAAGGCTAGGACGCGTATGTTTGGCTTTAAACACCTGCTGCCTAGCAAATGACATTTTTGGCTCTCAAATGATTGAAGGTGAGGGGTGCAGCATTTTCCCATCTAGCTATGTATACAGTAAGTGAACCCAAAAGACCATTGTGTATAAAGTGCAGTGTGGCACATACTGGTTTTCCTTTTGTTGGCATAAGAGGAAAAGAGAAAGATTTATGTTCTGGTTAACTTAAGCTTAGCTAACATTGCAAATAGTGCTTTTCTTTCAACTTTGATTTGATCCAACTTATTATTTTGTTCAGTTCATTATTTCTGTCATCTTATCAAAATAAAAGTTTTAGTAAAGGAAAACATCTCTGCTTTATTTTACCCTCAAAACTTAAAATCCGTCATTCAACCAATGAATGATGGAATTTTGTTCGCACCAAAATGTAGATATAAAATAGCCATGAGAATTAATGCAGTAGTGAGACTGTCTAAAATTTTTCAAATATTTCAGTATAAAGTCTGCGTGCTATATGCCATATAAGAGGACAGATCTCCAGATATTTTTAAAAATTCTAACATATACACAGACAACTAGAAATTATCTTTCTTTTAAATTAAAGAAAAAGTACGTATTAGCACATAAAATAAAACTGCTTAAGGTTTAAAAGAATTTTTAATAAAGCAAATGTTAACATTATTATTATTATTATTATTATTATTATTATTATTTATTTGTTGTTGTTGTTGTTGTTGTTAAGCTTCACAAGTAGCCTTTTATATCTAAAATTTTTATATTTTCCTAATCTTACTAGCTTTAAATTGACTTAACATCCAGAATCACTGATGTGCTGACCTTGGACTTTGTATTGTAGTGATTTTTATGTAAAGTAAATGTGAAGTTTTTTCCTTATGAGAAATTTAAAGGATTAATCAATCCTTGTGAGAATTGGTACTTATTGTAAGTTCTTAATCTTTTCTCAATAAGTATGTGTAGAAATTTGTTCCAAAAAAAATCTTCAATTAGTAATGAAATTTAGATAGGCTGATTCCGCTAAATACAAGAAATGTAAAAGATGATGCTGTATTTAAAAAAATTAAGCAATAGAAAAGATTGAAGGTGATTGTTTCCTTTTTGTAGTCCCCCCATGCCATTATTGTGATCAAACAAAAATTATTACATATAATTAAGCATAATTGAATAACCAAACACTTTGTCTTAAAAAAAAAAGCATATATCCACATGTCAAGGGATATATGATACTTTCTTGATTAAAAGTTTAAAAAATTGAGACTCATGTATGATATTGCATATGCATTTTAATTTTGTAAATAACATTTAAAATAGACAAGCATCATTGTAATTCTTAGTTATGACTAAAAGAACTTGTAAACATCTTTGATGGGATCTTTAGTCTGCTATACAATAAACGAAGACTTTATTGTGCCAAAAATATTTATTGTGTGGAGGTTATTGTGCCAAAAATATTAAACTAATGATGATGCTGAGTTTAAATTATATGTAAGCTGCTTGAGGCTCAATAGAATGAAATGGTTAGCATTTGGTGTTTCTCTTGTGTTGTGCATGAAGAGATTCATATTCGATTTATTTTGCGTCGGCAAGATAGCCTTTAACATCTATTAAAAAAACTAAACAAAGAAAATCTCCATGTATAGACAATCTTTTATGGACATAATAGCATTTTAGGATGTATGAGAAAACTCTCTGAATTGCAAATCTCACTACTTGGATATTTTGTATAGTTATCAAATTGAAGCATACTTTGCAATGACTGACAAGTATGAAGCACGTTGCTAATTGTTCAACAGAGAATGGATACATGTTTAGATAATTCATATTTATGGAATGCTTGTTAGTAAGCTGTTTGTAGCTGTTTGTGTTGAAAAGTTTTGGAGAACTGTAAAAATTGGAATTTCGAAATTCTTGTACCTCTGATCAACAAAATGTGTAAATTTAGATATTAGCAAAACCATGCTGTTATTTTGAGGTACTTACATGATAATGAACCACCTTGGTGCAATTTAGCAATTTTCTTACAACTTAAAAGGTAAAAATTACTTGCTCAGTGCAAGTGTGTGATTTTCACAATTTTTTTAAAGATTTCCAAATTATCGATATTTATCCTAAGTTGGCAGACATTATTAACATATGAAAAGAAAATATACTTTAGCAATTTAAAATACAAATTTTAATTATATTATGTAAGCATTGTATGATACACATTTTAATTATTAAATGAGTATTACATGATACATTTAAAAAGTAAATGCTTACATTCTTCAAGTCTTTCTGTAATTTTTTGTGCTATTTTTCTCTTCAAGTACATGGCAATCTGCTTTTGCTTAAAAGAAAAAAAAAAAATTAGAAATTCAGAGGTTCATTTTGCAAACCTCGACAACATCAGCTGTCTACCAAATACATCTCTTTGTTGTTCCCTTTAGAGATTTCGCAAAAAATTTGCTATTCCTGCCGAAATTTTACTTTTTTCAATTGCTGGCAAATTTCACAAGCAAATATTTTTAAATTTAGTTAAAGGCAAAAAATATCACAATTCATTTATAAAAACTCTTAGAACGTTGAATACAAAAAGAATGCAGATGAAAGTGGTTACGTTGCTTGACTAAAGGATTGTTATCAGCATGGTTATGCACATGGTTGTCAGAGTTTGGCACATTCGAAAAATTTATTGACCTCTTCTCAGATGGTCTTGATAACACGTAAGCGCTAGTTTAGAATCTTATATGCAGTTTATACAGCAATAGATATTAGATAATTGCTGTTAAGTAATTTTGGTGTAAATATTCTAGTTTAAAAACATATTGTAATTAAAGTTTTCTACCTTGATTTATATAAAAGAAAAATTTATTTTCATTATTAATTGTCTTTCAGTTTTGATATAATTTATATATATAGAAAGCTATAAATCACAGTTTTACATTAAATTGATTGATGAACATAGTTTCATATGACATTCTAATATTAAAACGAAAATTGATTTAACTTATTTGTTCCCTGTGTCATGTATGATATGCTGCAATGTCCCTCTGCGGACCTTTCATATCAAATGTGATATGGGAGAAAAGTATCTGTGGCAGCTCACTGTATCATATTTCAGATATTGAAATCGAATATTGCATTTTTATTTCACAATTGAAATGCCTCACTTAACTTTCCCTATACTGGAAGTGAAAAGTTTGAATGAAACTTATGCATAAGGAAAATTTATAAATAAAGCTGTGTAGTAAAATTGTTTCTAAATTTAATTTTTATGGTATTCTGATTATTAAAATTCTTTTAGGTAATTCAAATAACTGAAGTTGAAAATACTGAGCAGATTAACCAAGTTTCTTCAACAGTAATTGACTCGCCTGTTTCTTCAAAAATAAAGGTTAAAAATGCTGAGCAAGTAAACCAAGCCCCTAAAGGTGTAGACAGCTGTCATGTTGCTATAAACACAGATGTCTCAGAAACTCCGCTTGAAGACTGGGTGCATTTAGCATCATCATCTACTAATACTCCAGTAAAAGGTGGAGAGTCAAGTAATGATTTAAATGATGTGGAGCTCAGTACTCTTGAGGCTGTACCCTCACTTGTAGATCAATCCTTCACTATAGATGATATGGAATTTATTCCAAATCCAGAAGCTAATGAAGTGTATAACAACGTAATGAAGGTTTGCAGCACTACTGCTGAGGCTATAAAAAAAACTATCTCTGAAGTTTTGAACTCAAGAGATGATATTGTTATAACTACAGGAGATGTAACCCATGAACTGGAAGAAAGTTTAAGTAGAAGGATTGCAGATTTCGAAAATGTAGTTAGTGGGTGCTTTCCGGGTAGTTTCGGAGTAGATTCTGATGAGCCTGCCAGTAAACCTGTTAGTATAGTTGAAATTGTCGAAGAAACAGATAAAATTTCTGAGGATTCTACTGTAAATTCTGAAGCTATTGCTGCACATGTACCTGATCAAAGAATGCAAATAAATTGTGCAATATCAATAAATAGCACTGATATAAAAAATTCTAATGATGCATCAGATTTGAACTATGATTTAAGTGTTACAGATGGAAAAAAATCAGAGCAAATAGAAAAATGTGACATTACTAATGTGGAGACATCTTTACCACAATCTGAAGTGAGTTTTAATTTCTTTGTCATTTATTTAAATCTATTTTCCTTGAGTAGTTTTCTGTTCCAATTGCATATTGTGTCTAGAATTGCCTTGTATAATTGCTGTTAGGTATGACGCTACTTTGTTGTGTTGTAAAAAATGTTTAAACTGAGATTTTCTGGGAAGAGGGGAGACAAAATACTCTCACTTTGGCATTTAATCTCTTCCATTTCAAAGAAATCACCTAAAACCACCATCTGATTTTATCCAAGATTGTTTCCACTGCTGAAAGAGTGCCTGAAATTTCTTTCCTGAAATAGTAATCAGCAGTCTCATTAAATGTTCTCTCAGTTTTCCGTAACATCTTGGAATCTCCTTTCTTTGAAGTAGGACTTGACTTTTTGGAAACTGAAATAAGTGATAGAGGGATGTGATATTGATGAAATATAGTGGCTGTAAATATCTGGGAAATCTTATGTTTGCTAAAAAAAACTACTACAGATGCTAAGCTAAATGAGCAAGCGCATTGTTATAGTGGAGCTGCCCTCTCTGGATGATGTAACTCTGACCTCTTTTGATGAATAATATCCCCTGTGTGTCCCTTTCATGATAATATTTCTTGGTCACTCTCTAGCCAAATGATGCATATTCTTAATATACAATATTCTTGTATCAGAGAATACATTTCTTTGACTCATTTATGCTTTCTTGTATCACAGAAGTTGAGAACTTTGAAGACTAAACTTTGATTTCAGAGTCATAGATACATAACAATGTACATAACATGTTATTTCAAATGTTATCATTCTTAAAGCAATTAATATTTTGTGTAATTGAAGCTGTATTTTCTGTCATTCAAAAGGAGTTTGGCATAAACTTTCAGACCCAAATCTTTAGTAAAAGTAATGGTTGATGGTAAAAATATATTTACATGTGCCACTTGGCGAAAATTGTCGATTTTTGGCTGTACATGGACACCGAGTTCATGCAGTGGCCAAAATAACAAGTCAAAGAACTGCACAAACTTGGTATCAATGTACACATTGACTTATTTTCACTTAAAAAAAAAAAAATCAAAGAATTGCACAAACTTGGTATTCTGCACTCCCTTTGTCCATGTCCTCATCAATTTATGTTCACTTAAAAAGTCAAAGGAGAAGCCAATTCTACACTAGAGCCAAACAAAAAATATATAATCTCAATAAACTACATTTTAAATCAAATTATGAAATAACATAAAAAAGGAAATTCATCTTAGCACTATGCAAAGAAAATATCCAATTACCTTATAGAAACCACTTACCTTTAGAAATTTTCATGTCTTCAGTCAAACAAAATTCCTTAACAGCATCTAAAAACTACCTAAAATTATCTGAACTAAAATCTGTATACTGGTATCGCCACATAAATTTAAAAAAATAAGAGTCGGAAATATTCTCCGTAGTGCCGGTATCCTCCGACTTTCGACCATACACATTTCCTTCGTACAAACAGGACACTTATAATGGCTACTAAGTAAATCTTCATTTACATAAGTCAGTTAATGTTCTTTTCCCCTTTCATTCCAAATCATACAGAAACTTGAAATTAATCTTACCACATTTAGCCATTTTATTGTGTAAACCACAAAATAATTGCCGTACCTCCTAAGAAACATCCAACACACTAACAAGCCCTTAATCTTTTCACTGCAGTCAGGCAACCAATTAAGTCATAATAGGGTTTCCATAACATTCAACTACTCAGGTTACCATAAATTAAACAACTTGGCGATAAATGAAATAACAACTTCGCGTTAATCCAAGAGACACTCTTCAATATATCTTAACCACGTTTGGTGTACATTAATTCAGCCGATTTTCCATACTTCTGAATTCTTATCTCCAGTGTTTTTCTCAATTTTGTTGCTGTAGATTTTCCGAGATGTTGGTCACTTTTGACAGTTTTTTCAATCATCTTGAAAATCATCTTTAAACAGTTGTAAAGCACATGCAACTCATACAATCCTTCCGATAGACTGCAACTTTGTAGAAATCTTTTTATTGGTATTATCATGTGTTTGGTGAAATCAGATGTAAATTCTCTCTGCAGCCTTCTTTACCAAGGCGAGTATACTGACAAAGCGTATCACATGTTTGTTCAAAGATTCACGTGTGGCAGGATCCTGTAAACAACTGAAGTGAGTCAGTATGTTATAACCTAGGGTGTATATATGGTAGGATACAAAGTAAAACCATGCTAAGTGGCTTCACTCTCTATGTTTTTGCTTCATATATATGTCATTAGTTCTGATTCTATCACAGCTCATATATTTTAATACTTAATTTTAAAAAAATATATAATTTATGGAAAACCTTTATTGTAAGATTGAGTAGGTGTGTGTGTTTTTTTCATATGTGTGTTATTGGTGTTAATTATTTTGAACAACAGTTTAAAAATATTGAAATGTATATCACTTCCTTTATTAACCACTTGCGTTAAAAAGATGTGCCACACACGTCTAGATGCTTTTGTCTCAAACCACGCGCAAAAATGAAAATAACGTGGTGCACACGTCGCCTAACAGCGAGATTGTTTATTTCTCGAGTTACAGCTCTGGATTGCACTCGCAGATGCGGAGTGGCGTAAATGAGACATTTTACCGCTTGTTATATTGTAGCACACGGCACTGCAACCATGAAGTTTAGTCGTAGCGCAAGTGGATAAAGCAGCCCCCACATAAACCTTTGATGATGTTTAAAAGTTGCACATTAGAAATTTGGTAATAAAGGATACTTTTACCTTATACTGTATTGTCTGTTTTTTATGCTTACTGTTGCCATTCAAGTTTGTGCAGAGCAATTGAAGCAGCAAAAAGAAAAGATTCCCTTTTTCTCACTCTAATTCTCCAAAAACCTATTTTGGGAAAAGAACACAGCCCCTATTTTTTCAATATTTATTTACCGTATTTAACAGCATATAAGACGCACCCATATTTAGAAGGCCACACACAAGGAAAAAAGTTTCAGTAGTCCGCACGATAGCGCGGTACCACAATAACTTAAAATGTGGTTTCTTTTAGTTCTCACATTTCGTAAAAGCCAAATAAACAATCATTGCAATTACCAAACATATTTTTATTAAGGAAAATTAACAAACGGCAAGCTATTTTGAACATGATATGTAAATTTTCAATAATGAATAAATGAATGAACGGCAAGCAATCAAACATAATACAAAATAAAGCAGAAACAACAAAAAACACAGATTCAAGGAAAGCGTTGCTTATCATGAAATTAGACTTCAATCATTTTCAAAACCATAAAAATCCTTTTCACTATCATCATCATCGAAAATGAGAATATCATCATCATTACTGTTTCCGTCATCGCTAGTATCACCTTCTTCAAATAATGCTAAAGGACTTAACAATTACTTCAGCTTTTACGTCCTCCCAAGATCTTTTTACCCACTCGCACACTTGTGAAATAGAGTGCCGCTTCATTCTACTTAAGGGTGTGAGGGCTCTCCTATCCACTTGTTCTATTGTTCTCGCACTTTTTCCTTAAATGGCTTATTCACCGATACATCTAAAGGCTAGTCTGTCCACCAGGAATGACAGCTATCTGGGTTTTTAATTCTCTCACTTTATTCTTTATGGTTTCAGTTCTATGGGCGCTAAACTGATCCAAAACCAAAAGAGGTTTTTTTTTAAGAGTCCACCAGGTTGCCTCGCCCATACGTTCTGTAACTACAGTTTCATTCCAGCTTCATCCATCCAGCCTTTCGGATGAACATGAACAATTACACCCATTGGAAGTTTTTCTTGTGGATGAGTTTTTCTTTTGAATATGAAAAACGGCAATAGTTTTGTGCCATCAGCACAACATGTTAGAACTATCGTATATCGGGTTTTATCTGGGCTATAGACCTTTATCCAGGCTAAAAATAACATTCAGTATTGAAAGTTAACCTGTGTCCTTCACGTATAAGACGCAGGTAACTTTTTTAGACCAAATTTAGGAAAAAAAATGTGCCTTATATGCCGTCAAATACAGTATTTATTTTTGTGTGTGTGTGAATAAGCCTTGCCATTTTCCAGAATTTTAAATGCATCTATTGTTTTTTATGGGAAGACCAGATGAAAAGGAATTTGAACATAATTCTCTTACTCTTCTGTTATCAGGACCAGATTCAGAAATGTATGTATATATATGTGTTCATGTATGCATATGTAATGTGTTTACTCATACACATATGTGCACATACATAAATACACATGTACAGGTAGCCCTCTACAACATGGCATCCTGTAACACGGCTTTGCTATAACATGATTCATAAATTGCAGGAACCCTCCTACAACACAGTATCCTATAACATGGTTTCACTCTAACATGATGAGAAAACTGCCCAAGAACGTTGGCGAACTCTGCATGAAGTTTCTCCATGTTAAGCAAAGCACCCACATAGTCATTAAACACATAAGAATCCTTATTTACAAAGTCCTGCCAGTTGTCTTCCAAGATACAGTTCCCATAAGAATAAATAACGTCGGGTAGATGAGCCACCTGGTGGAGAGTGACCATTGAATTCTTAACCCATAACTGGAGAAAATGTTTTCCTTCTCTGAGTAAATATTTGACATAGTATTGGGAAATGCAGGTGAAAAAGTCTTTGTTATGATAATTTGTTTCATGGTTCCAGGATTCCTTTTCTTATTGCTTTGTGCTTCATATACTATTAGATTAGGCTGAAGAACTAACTGTCATCAGATGCTGCATAGTAGCCATATTGCACACAGCCTCTGATCTAGTACAAGCATATTTGTGGATCAGAGCAAAGAAATATATCAATAAAATGTAAATATGTACATCATATAATATCCCCATCTTGCTGCTATTAGAGCTCCCAGAAGCTCGAGTCCTGGCAATGTAATTCTCTTAATTGGAGCTTATCAAAATGAAACTTGCTAAATAAAGCTAAAATGAAATTTGTATTCCAGTCTGTTCTTAATCTAGTTTTAAAGTGTACAGTCTTCTAATGTTTTGACTATGATCACCAGTACCATGATCTACATTTTTTTCTTGATAAGTGCAAAGATATTTATTTAGTTATAGATGCATATAGTATAGCAATTAACTTACATCCTTCTGTACAAAAACTAAATTGTTTTATCGAGGATTAATTGTGGTTACATAAAATCAAGGTGAAGATGTAATGATTGTGTTTTGATGTCATGCTTGTCCATTATTTGTGCTAAAATACACTGCTTTTTTATGTTTTTTGCATGTCAAAACTGGTTGATGGTAAAATGCATAAGTATGATTAATGGATCAGTTAATTGGTTATATAGAGGCATATGACTGCATATTTTACCTCAAAATTTTTAAATTCTTGCAGTTGGGAATTTTCATTAACAGTTTTCTATTTGTATTAGGTAAAGCTTTTTCCAAAGGAACTAGTCAAGAATACAATTACTGCAGATGAAGAGCGAGGGACAAAAAAGCAACAGAAGAATAATGCAGCTAAAAAGAAAGGAGAAAGAACTATTGGTTTGTATTTTTAGAATTTAAATGAATTACAACTTATGTACTATAAGTATATTAGTTAAAATTGAACAGAAACAAATACACAGAAGAAAAATTTTATACATACATATACATTTATACATACACATACACATGTATGTAGAAGATGAAAATTGTAAGATTTTTTTTTCTTTTTAATCCTTCATGACTGGTAGGCACAGCAGTAAAAAAAAAGAAAAGAATAAAAAAAAGTTAAAAAATTGAACTTGCAATTGAAGTTGCACTCACACAGCTAGAAGGATACTGTCAAACTATAGCTCTTCATAAGGAAGCAGACCAGAATTTCATGTGATCAATTACTTTTCTGAATTTATTTTTGAAATAGTTTAAATTCAGTAATATTTTGTAATCACAGTGATTTAAGATTAAAATTCATTCTAGAAATAAGTCTGCTCAAAAGTGGTTAGAACAAATATTGTCAACATGTAATATAAGAATCTTGGAAAAATAACCCCCCTCTCCCCAAAAAAATAACAATAAGTTAGTCAAAAATATAAAAAATTATATTGCTACTGCTAATGAGATAAAGTATATAGAATATATGTCTACCAAAATTGGCAGTCTGTTTACCAGGAAGGCATAAATTAAATATAATATGAAGCAAAAACATGGAAATCAGATCTGACACAGATGTAAATTAATAGTGATAAAATTAAATAGGGAGCTAACCTATTTTACAGTCAGATATTATTAAAGTAAATTTCAAAACCAAAATTCAAATTAGAGCCAGCTACTATGGGCATATAAAATTTTAAAAATAGTAAAACAAATTAAATTTAGAAAAAAATTACATTTAAATGACTTAAAAACTTTTTGGATTTATTTTCATTCTAATACATAACAATTCATAGGTGGCATATCTAATAATATAAGTAACTAAATAATTTCACCATTTAACTTCTTATTTTGATGGGTTTTTTTTTTATTTTTTTATTTTGTTTATTTAAATAGTATCTTTCTTTTTGCAACTGAAAGTATTTGTATCAAATAAATATAAAATATGACTTTAAATCAATATAAATTTGACTGAAATTATTCTTAGTAAGCAGTAAACAGCAGTAGTATACTGGATCGTTGAGGTTATCAACATCTTTTAGTGTGTAATTTACAAGAAATAAAATCTTCAGTATTGATATTTGTATGAATTTTTACAACTACTGAAAAATATGCGAGTGGTTTGGTTTAATTTATTATGACAAAGCACTTGAGGGCTATGTGCCAAAGAGGAGAGATGCCTTTGTGGTGAACCTTCTAAGAAAAATTGGCTCGTATACATGTTACATTAGCGAAAAACCATGAAAATGCCCATGCAGCCAGCCTGTTCGCCAGTACTGAACCTTTTTTTTTTTTTTTTTTTTTTTTTTTTTTTTTTTTTTTTTTTTTAAATAGTGAAGAATATTTATTGAAATTTTATTCAATGTTTGTCATGACTCGTTTTTTCTCCAAAACCTCACCTTCATTAAAAAGAAAATGACTTACTGATTATTTTTTAAGTCCTTTTCTAAAGAATAGATGATGTCTTTATAATAATCCCATTACAGGTAAGAATAAACACGGATGAATAATGCACTTTGTTTACTCTTTAGAATATCTGTACACATACACTTGATGTATTCTCAATGCCATATCTTGGGAGTGCAGTTGGGAGCATCTGTCCAAAAGTGCAGCATCCAGGGCTGCCGAATTGATGTTATAGAATATTAGAATGAAATGTTTTCCATTCTTGGCAAACAGGAGGGGGAACAAAATCTTTAGTTGTTTCCTGGTCGCTAATAATTATAGCTATACTTCTGTGTACTTTAGCAGTCTAGACTTTTTAATACCCTTCAGTCTTGGGCTAAATGTGAGCAAGGTTGGGCACCACTGCACTAGGCAGCAGAATTTGGGGCCAGATTTTTTTTATTTTTTTATTTTATATATATAGAGAGAGAGAGAGAATTCAGAGAAGCACAGTAGCAAAATTTTTAGATTTTACGGGAGGCTTTGAGCAGCAGAATTTAGGGGACAGCAGAAAACACAGGCAGCAAAATTTAGAACTTACAGAGATTGCATTGGACAGCAACATGCCTAGCATTGGCCCTAAATATCAGAATGCTGCAACCTCATAATGATGCCACATTAGCATGTCTAACAAGTGGCAGAATTTTTTTTATTTGTGTGTCTGTCTTACAATATTGAATATAATAAAACTTAATTTTGTTCATCATTATTATCAAACTCAGCCTGCTGTCTAGATAAATTCTGTATACAAGATTTGTTAAACTTTTCCTGTGTGAGAGGCCACTCAAGATTTGTATGCACAACTCATGGGCCAAATAGTGGTAGATATTTTGCAATAAAAAAAATAAAGTAGGAATAGAAATATTAAAATTGAGCTGTAAATTTAGAGATTAACAAGTTAATTTATTATTTTCCTATTTGTGAATATAACAGAAACATGAGAAATTGATTGTTAAAATTGTGCATTGCAAATTTATCTCCTAATGAAATAAACCTTTTTTGCACAACCATTTAGTTTTCATCTCTAGACCCAAACGGGCGTTAATATCTGTCTCTTTTTTTAAAGAATTTTGTTTCCAAAAGCACTGTGAGAGTTTAGCAGCAGTGTATACCTTAAACTGATTATATGAGATAAAACTCTATCTTTTTTAAAAAGCTGGTAAATCACTTCCTAGCAAAAATTTTATGACTGGAAGCTGTCTGGAGAAACTATTGTAATTTTGATTGGCGTTCTTCCTTATGAGGGAAGAGGGAAAATACTGCTTTTATGTATATTTTTATTTCTGAAAATTATATTTTCTACTAGATTTGTTTTTGCATTTAAATGGACTGCTCTTTGCTGGGAACGATAGAATACAAACATTTTTTGAGTGTAGTATGTTTTAATAAAAAAGGTTTCTGCTGTACCAATAATATATTTGTGATTTGAATATTTTATCTGTTAACTCTTTGGCTAATGAACTGGATTCAGGAGTATAAAACCGTATTACTTAGAGGATTCCAGTCTAATTAATGTAACACACACTGTATGATCCAGTATTATGCTTCCTTTTCGACCATATATTGTACCCTTTTTTTCCTGCTTTTGGAATGCATTCACCCATTTCATTCACAAGTTTATTTATAATAAATGAAATGAAAATTTAATTGAATCTTTTTTTGGTTTTTAAACTCAAATGAACTATGAGAACGGTATATGTTTTTGAAACATATTAATTGACTTTCATGAAACTTTAAATCATTTTGCCCTGATGAGTTCTGAATTGGAGTTTCAGTAAAAAGAGATTAATTTTTATAATTTTGTATATTTTTTCTTTTCGCATTTTTATTTTTCGAGTTTGTTCTTCCAATGAATTCTTTGATATATTTAGATTTGTGTTAAACCTCTTATACACGGTTGCAGTTATTAATATTCTTGAGGAATTGCCTTGCTTCCAATTTAATTTTAACTTTAGATGCTTTTAAGTTTACTTTACTTCAATCTTGCAGCTATAGTGCAGGATGGGTTTAAAAATATTGTTTTTAATTTTGAGCCTATTATGTTTCTTTTTGTATGTATATATTTTCAAGTGGTACCATAATTAATTTGCATCTCAACACAGCCAACATGCACTACATGGATAGACTGGAATTTTCTTAAGACACACCTGGAAAAGTCGGGGAATTTCATTCTCCTGTTTGAATGGCAACCCTGTTTATTCCAGTTTTGTTAACCCTTTCGTGGGCCGTGGGAAGATTACTTCCCACCTACATGTTCCTGGGAAATACACCTGTGGAAAGCGCAAAACCCACTATAATATATTGGCTTTGCTATTATAACGTTGGAACTCTAATTCTCACTTCAGTATTGTGCTGCCATCTGTGTTCAATCGATTGAAAACAGAATTACCACATTTATTTTGAAAGTTCGAACGCGTTGTGTGAGATCTGTTCCACTGAGACACCAGCTTTGATTGACATTTGCATTGCTATACGATTCTGCTTCAAATGTAAGTAAAGCATTGTTTTTATTATAATAACGTTTTCTTATTTTGTATATTTCTGCAGTAACTATCTAATATTGAATAATAAATAATGGGTAAAAAGTGAAAATACTATTGCATCATGTATAAAAGCCACGTGCAATAGGTATGTTGGAAAAATTAGAATATTTTTTAAAATACATTTAAAAATATCATTCAATTCTACTGAGAAAAAAAAAGATTATTTTGGCATGATTTTTACTGAGGAAATTTTACAGAATATTGTTGACGAAACAAACTCATATGCAAAGCAGACTAAGAAAAGGAAGAGATTGGATAATACCACAAAAACACATTATCCTGAACTGGAAAGAAATCACATCAGAAAAATTGAAAGCATGGGTAGGTATGCATATACTCATGGGTATATATCAATTGCCTGAACTGAAAAACTGCTGGAGCACAGACCCTAATCTCAATGTTCAATCAGTAGCAAGAATAATAATCGCAAAGAGGTTCAAAAAATAACTGAGACTTTACATGTAAACGATAACAGCACAAATCCATGTGGGCAATTTGCGTATGATAAACTCCTAAAGTCAGGCATCCTCTCGCAGCTCGATGATTCCATACCTAAAGTCTACGAACCTTCGTCAACATTATGAATAGATGAATGTATGATAGCTTTCAAAGGGAGAACTTCATTGAAGCAGTATATACCAATGAAGCCTATAAAAAGAGGTTACAAGGTGTGGTGTTTAGCAGACTCTAAAACTGGATATATTCAAAAATTTGAAATTTATTGTGGAAAAGAAACTTCTGATAATATGGATAAAATATTGAGCTTAGGGGAAACAGTAATAACTAAACTAAACGGAAGATGTGAAACAGACAGGTCATCTTATAGCCTATGATAACTATTTGACATCTTTTAGGCTTGCAAGAAAGTCTACTTATAAGTGGTCTGTTTTCTGTGGGGACTGTATGGCCGCAAAGGAAGGA